AATAATCATCATTCTCACATTTACTGTTCAAACTGTAAGTTTGAAAACAGGAAAGTCACAACAGACCAGCTAAAACAGCCCAAAAAGTCCTGTTGCTGCTGCCCCACTTTGTCGTCTGGACTCGAGTATCTTAGAAAATAATTTTGTCTATATTCAATCATTGATATCCTGAGCTGGGATAAAGTCATGGTGGCTGAAAACGACCGCTGAATGTTTGAGTGCTGTAAAGTGGGAATGTTCCAGCACCAAAATGAATTATTCCTCAGAAGCAAAATCCATAACATCTACTCACTCTGAGAAGGTTTGGTCCGAGTCGATCCGTCATAAAACATGCATGTCATTAAAATTCCCATTAGGCCCTGATTTTATTTATGACCTGTGTTTAGGTTCAGACGTTCAAAGAGGAGTTCGGTCAGCTTGATCGGATACTTGAAATAAAAATAAAATTTAAAAGTCATTAACATTTATTTTTCAGGGACCGGGTACAAAAACAAAGATGAAACATTGCACCAGATTTAGCTACTAGCTAATGTTTATCCACAGTCCCTGAGTAGGTAAAAAATGTATTTTATTATTATGATTTATTTTATTTGTGTTTAGAGAGAAGTGAGATGATTGTAGTCTGACGCAAGCTCAGGAACGGTCCACAGTGACGTATAAATATGCTCCCCGTGCAACAGCATGAACCGTATTCACCGTTTTTAACTATTTATATAGTAACAGTTAAATTGTCTGAGTGTTTATTTATTTATTCATTAAAAATCAGGAATCTTTTTTTTTTTTGTAGCAATAATATGATCATTAGAGCGAGTCATGGACCGCTGCTGAACCTGGCCTTAAAACCAGGTTTATGTGCACACGTTGCGCTGATATGATGGATTAAATGAAGCTGAAGGACACTTTTCTACACTTTGAGTGACAATTAAGAACATTTTTAAGCAAAAAGACCAAATAAAGAAAATAATAAGATTAAAATGACAGAGATACACACAGGACCAAAGAGAAGCAAAACAATCCAATTAGTCTATAGGAATAAAAACAAAGAATGAGTTGATGTACTGATAGAAAGAGAGAGAATACATAAATTAACAAGTAAAGATTATAAGAGGAACTATTTAATAAAACCTAACTAAGGTGTGACTCAGAGCTCTGCGGTGAGTCTTTGTAGAGCTATGATGTAACTACGACATCGTTGTTTAGTCTAGATAGAAGCGTCTTATATGCGGGGACCTTTTCCCTCCTGGGCACTTGCTCTTTGTTCTGGGCATTCTTTCCGGGGGTCGGACATCTTTGTCCCTCACGTTTTTCCACTTCTTTGTACACTCTGATAGTTTCAGCAATCTCCCTACAGGAACTTTCTGACATGTTTCAGTCCTTATATTGATGCTATGATTATTGTTCCTTCTGTTGAAATGATGATGGCTATTCTCTTACTGATAAACTTAAAAACTGCAGGGAAAAGGTAGAAATGCACAGGACGAATCAACGGTGCTGAACAGACATGCAGTCACATTTCCAGTGAGATGCACATCAGGTTGCGGGGTATGGTTTCAGAGGGGCTTGCAGTTATGGCGTAGATTTTAGTTTGAAAGCACAAAGCCCCGCGGTTCTGCACATCCTTTACTGTTGGCACCTTAATTTCAACTTCATAGTTTATGTTTCTTTTGTGTATTATATCAAGCTATTTACTTTAACTGTAGTACTTTAACTTGTTTGCTTTTTTTGTCATGGAGCAACAGTGACCACATAATTTCCTCTGGGATTAATAAAGTATTCTGATTATGACGTTCAGTAGTTAACCCCTTTACTGTTATGACAGGTGCTAGAAAAATGCTTACATACTTTTATCTACTTTCTTAGGGACACTGACATGGAAGAAAGTGTATTTGTAGAATTTAATTAAACTAATTACACTTTAAAAAATCCAAAAAATATGAATGAGAATGAAGAACAGAAACTAATAGTTACCCAGTCCTCATTCAGTCCTCATTGCTGATTAATTCATCGACTCATTAGGAAAAAGCTGGCACGGTGAAAGGTTTTCAGAGTTCTTCTCATGTCTTCCTGGATAACAAAGCTCATCGTGGAGCTGCGGTCAGATGAAGTGGGTCAGCTCAGCAGCGTATTTATAGCTCGGATCGCACTGCTGTCCGTGCTGTCTCTGGACCCAGCAGGAAATGATGCAATGAAATACAAACTGTACTACAAGTGGCCACTAATGCACCTCCACTGTCGGGCCACGGGTCAGTTCAGAGTCACTGTCAGTTCGCTTTCTATCCAACTGAAGCAGCCAAGCATTTAATTCCAAATTCAGAGGCGTGCATTACCACAGGGTTCAACAGGCTGTGGCACAGGAACTAAAAGCCACATCAATAACTAATAATCAGCTCGGAGTCACGACAGCTGGAACAGCTGCAGAAGCTTGCATTTGATGCTCAGATCTGAACTATCCAAAGTTTTGGAGATATGTTGTTTTATAAAGTAAGGATGTTTGGGAAGGCTTCAACAGTGGGAAACAGATTTTTCCTCATCCTAATAGATTTTTGTTATCTATTAGGATGTAATTGTGATTTTTTTACATGTACGAGTTTCAGATAGTCCTATTCTAAATACAGATTTTTTTTCCAGGTGAGAAGCTCATTACCTTACACTATAAATTACCCTGAGACAACTGTTCTGTTGGTTTGATGCCATATAAATTGAAGTGAGATTTTGCAGACTCACGATGGTCTGTGCCTCTCAGTTCATCCTCTGCCTCCCTTTAAATCCAGCTTTCCTCTGATTGGCCTCCTCTTGCAAACAGAGGTTTGAACAGCAGTGTGTTCACAGAACTTTGTGTCTGATAATCATATGAAGAGATTTTACTGCAGCCTGCAGCTTTTTGTACCAGTGCCTGAGGCAACTGGGTTTTTTTTGGGGTTTTTTTGATGCTATATAGATAAAATTGAATTGAACTGAACTTGTACAGACGCTGACCTCATCATTAGAAATTTCCTCACTACCATTATGAGAGAACTAATATGACAGAAAATAACAGAAAGCGTAATAGGCCCCTTGTTGTTTAGCTTTAAGCTCTGAGTTAGGAATGCTCCCCTGCAGTAAAATGCTGAGTATATTTTCAGGCCTCGCAGTGGGAAGTTTAATGACTTGGACTTTTTGCCACATTTGTAGGTAACGAACACAGCTCATCTTCATTTCAATAAATGCAGGAGCGTTTATGTCCCAAGCTGCACTGACATTTACTATAACTGTCAAGACCAATATTTTCAGCTGGGTCACCACAGTGATCCTCATGGCAACAGGAGAGCCGCTTGGTGCCTGTTTGTCTTTCTTTGATGTGCCGTAGCTGTTCGCTTTGGTTTTTAGCGCAGTCCATCATCGTCTGTGTGTTCAGCGTTATTGACTGTTTGCTCTGGACTCGTTGTATGTCTGTGGGCTCAAGGCTGTGCTGGGGATTTGGCATTATGCAGAGAGCATCTAATGAGCATGATGAGCTTAATAAGGTAAAGAACTGAACTGCAAAATCAATGGGAGCTGGTTAAGTGAATCACAGCATTTGAGTAACAACTTCATGAAAAGAATAAGCATGTTTCTTGTAGCCAGGCGTTAAAGTCACAGACTGTAAAGTTTTAATTAGTCAGTTTTTAATTAAAATAGATAAAACGAAATGAAATCAAATGAGGATAAATTTAATTTGATTTGAATCTGTGGTGTGGACGGGAGCTGCTTTATGCCAGCAGGGATAACCTCCAGAGGACCAAAGGTGATTTTTAAAATATTTGATTTAATCATTTATTAGTGTGAACTACCTCTTTGTTAAAATGAACAACAACAACAAAGAATCTGCCTGTCAGCTTTTTCTCACACGGGTACATTTTTTTTGTAGATTAGAATCACAAATGAACGTGTTTTGTTACCAAATTTGTTTAAACTAGAGTAAAAGATGTGCTCTCAGGCCATCAACAGCTCAGACTTACATGTGAGTACGTACGCTGTGGCTTTTCGTACACTTCAGCCATGCTCTGGTTCTTTCGTCAGATTTCCTTGTAACACATGACAGCCTGTGTTCATGACCCGTGATGGCTGCTTTTCATCTGTGTTTGAGAAACATCATGTTTGGGTGAAAGTGCACCAACCTGTGATTTTAGCTCTGTAATTCTTTTATGGTGATGTGGTCATTGAAATGAGGAAATGAGGTTCACTTAAAGTCTATTGAGCTTGGAAAGAAAAGCGTCCGGACTACTGTAAATTTCTTGAAGACATTTCATCTGAGAAGCTTCTTCTCAGATGAAGAGTAGAGTAACCAGTTAGAGTAACTGGTGGAGAATCCCAGATTTTAAGCATTTTGGACGGAGAAGACAGATGGTTTGAAAGAGGAGTGAAAGAAGCCATTTATCTCCACTGTGAATGACCATCTTTGAACAGAGGGCTTATGACACTGACTCTCTGCCATTTATAATCCAGTTTTGAGATCTCTTCCCAGATGCCTTAATGCCCACTCACACCCTGGGGCATTTGACCTCTGTAAATTACATGATAGGGTGGGACTAGGCTTCACTATGGATTCACCCGTAACTGGGTTGATTGTGACCTACACCCGTTTTCACACCTTGGCTCATGTAGAGGTAGAGGATCAATCCATGACCCTCTTGGGGGGACATTCCCATAGGGCTTAAAATCTGGGACTCTCCACCATTTGCTCTTGGAACTGAAGGAGCTTCTCAGATGAAATGTCTTCAAGCAACTTAAAGAAGTCCAGATGCCTTACTTTCCAAGCTCCTTAGACTACGATGACCTGGATGACTAAGAACCTTCACAGACATGTCTGCCAGTAAAAGGTTTGAATGGCGGGGTTTATGTAATCTTTGGGATTAATCAGGTCTTTTTTGGATCACTTACATGAAACGTAATTGTTTGTTTGTAACACTGCCAGGCTGCATAAATCTGTTGGGATCCACCATTCCTCTCTTGCTGACCATGTCTACCTTTCTCTCTTCTAGCTTGGCAGCATCCAAAGAAGCTGCAGCGAGGAAAGCTGCCTCCCCGATGCCACCGTCCGAATTTCTGGACAAGCTCATGGGCAAGGTTTCGGGGTACGATGCCAGAATCCGACCAAATTTTAAAGGTAGGCGTTGCCACCAAGACTCAGTCGGATAAAACAGGAATGTAGCCAAACGTACCCTGAAAAGACCTGCGCTGTGTCTGCATTTTATTACCTTCTCTAAATGCCTGTTTAGCCAAGAATGTCACCAAAGATAAGGTTTGTATTTATTAGCTTAACTGAAAAAAGGAAAATAACATGTTTAGACATCGATGTTGCTGAAACTTTGTTGCTGTATATTTAATCACTTCAATGTTTTTGTCTGTTCTCAATTTGTCGATCTCTGTATTTGCCCTTTGCAGTGTGGAACAAAGGTAATTCTTCCCACGGCTCAGTTTAGGTGTCAGACCCCAAACTCCCTCCCCCCACCTTTTTTTCCCCTAACACAAGTCCAGCCTTGCACTTTTACCCACAATCATATGGTAAGATGACAAAATCCCCAGTAAGGACTAAGCTAGTTGGCTACATTCCTTGGTATCCACACAGTATCCTGAGTGCTTGTTTTGGTGGTCAAGGTAATGTGCCTCTCTCCCATGAGTGTGCTGCTGACCATGATTTCATGATGATGATGATGACGATATAGTTTTAAGTGACCTCCCTGAATGGAAGCCCCCATAAAGACACATGTCAGAGGTTTCTGCTTTAAACTTCTTGCATTAGGAACACAGACTGGACATGAGAGAACTGGGGCAGCCCTCCGTATCCACCAAAGTCTATGACTAATGCAATGGGTTAAAAATACATTTACAGCATCTTTAAGCATCTGAACAGACAGACAAACTGATTTCCCCTCGTGCTTTTCTGACATTTAAGCCTTGCTGCATGTTTAAAACTGCCAGAACTGAGATTTTATAAAGTGGATGTGAGAAATTTCTAATGTCTTCCGTTTAGTTTGTTGGGTCATGTGTACAAAATATTGGTACCCCGGTGACATTCCAGCTTTTATCAACACGTCTTCTTTAAGTATTAACCTTTAATCACCTGTTACAACATGTGCCTTACTTGTTTTTTTTATATACGGCTGCCAAAGCATTGCTATCCTTGGCACCTTGCAGTCCAGACAGTAAATCTTGTCCTACTGTCGTCATTTAAAGGATGAAGATTGGTTAAATGTTAGTGAGAGGTACGCTCAGTTCCCCTCCAAGTCTGATCAGAAGCAGATCAGTGGGATGTGTAAGGAGTTCGAGTCTTACCTGGCAGCAGTTTGGTCTGCAGGAGGTTTAACATGAACCTCAAAAGCACACGGGAACCCATCACCCAATCACCGCACGTTTTAGGCGCTGTCCAAGTTTTAGTGAAAAGTGAACCTTTTCAGGTTATTATCAAGATTTGCCAAACCATTAATTAATAATTATAAATATCTAAATGGCCCTTACACTTGGCTCAATTTGATCTGATCTGTTTCATGTAAAATGGTTGTGATCAGATCTGTGTGTGTGTGTGTGTGTGTGTGTGTGTGTGTGTGTTGGTGTGTGTGTGTGTGTGTGTGTGTGTATACAGAGCTTCACAAATGTATGAGACCATCTGTCAAATATTTTAGAAATGTAAAATAAAAATAACTAAAACTCATTTTTACTGTTCATCGATGCAAAATAATAATGTGCTTCACTGCTTTTTCATAAAACTGTAAACTTTAAAATTCATGGATAAGATATTACATGATTATATTTTTAATTAAAGAGCATTCTGCTGGATTAACGAGAAACATTAAAAAACAGGAAGCTCTCAGAGAGCTTCCCCTCTGAGGCGGCTCTCATTTTTTTTCCTTTCTTCTTTTTAAACATACTTTAATAAACCCACTGAAACACATTTTAATGTACCCTACTAAAATATTTGTATATTTTTTTATTTATATGAATATAGTACATGTGTAGTATTTATTTCATGATTTATTCATATTTTAAATGTTTTGTAATAAACACCAAGTGTATTTTGGTTTATAATAAAAATATATTAATAAGATAAAGCATCGTCCTAGTATAGGAATTGTGGTTATGACCTGTTAGATGAAAAATATATATAAAAAATACCTAATAAAACAAACGTTTCCAACACAAACAAGATCGACATTGAAAAGATGGGAGTAAGAAACATAGTTTTAAATATCTCCATAAATCATTATTATAACTTTGACCTTCACGTCAGTTTGTTGACCTTGAAGGAGAGGTCAGAGGTCAAATGTGACGTGACGTCTTAAACCTTTAGATGTTAAGATGAGAATATTTTAAGTTATTGGACTTTTTGTTAGTTTCCCACCAATAAATCATGAAGCTGACCTTGAAAATGTGTTTTTTAACATGAGACTTTATCCGAATTCATTCTAGACAGAAACACAAAAACGCTGCGACACACAGAACCTGCCTGGTCCATTCAGGTCAGCCGTGGCATAAACCACTAATTTGTTGGTGGTCTAATATATTTGTTAAGCACTCTGCTTTTGTGTGTGTGTGTGTAATATAGTAAGTGGCATGTTACCTGCTGGGGTAGAAAGAAGGTTCGCCTTCGTCTTTTCAATAACCTGAAAAGATTTCTGCCGTTCACTTCTCACCCAGATGTTTTCTGGGATCTCTGGCGGTGATCAAACCTGGAGGGATGACGTACATTACCTAACGCTGCCTGCGTCAGGTCAGCATGCGATGCTATTTGTCTGCTGCTCTGCATCTGCCCGTCGTCTCTAAATCAAAAACAGGTGAAATTTAAAGGTGTTGCTAATATTTTGTACACTGAGCACACAGGTACACAGAATGTGCACAAGTGAATCACAGCTTTGTTTCTGAATGCTGCCATGGAGCTTCTCTCTTCTTCTGTTTTTTCTTTGCTGAGCCCATAATGGTACAGCCCATTATATGGTGAGCAGGATATCTCGGTTCACGCAGGACAGGGTTGAGAGGAGCGGAGGGTTTTCGCTGTGACTAAGTGCGCATTATTAAACCTGCCTTGGCTACAGAATGGCCGACCTGCCGAGGGTTTGCTCAGGTGTTTGTCGCGAGCCGATTTTGGAGATCATTTCTGTTTTTTTAATTTGATTTCTCCTCAGCTCTGCTCAGCAACACTCCCGCGCGATTTACTGAAGCTAGCACTGCACTGACCTTTACAAATCAGGATTTAAACAGGCATGTGTGGCAGTTATTTGAATTTATAGCTTTAATCTTTTTTTCCTTCTTCTAATGCGATGTAATAAAAAATTTTAATGCAGATGAAATTACTCTCCGGCGCTGTGCCGCACACGCACAGAATAATAAGAGTCCCAATGTCCCCTGTAACACAGACACGTTTATTTAAATGAGCTCAGACGTCAGATACTTTCTGTTTTGGGGTAAATTTGTAACGAACGCAGATCTGTAATGAAGATACGTATGGACGAGGAGGAGGAGCCCATCTTTTATATAATGTGCTCAGCTAATTGTGTCAGGGGCCATCGTTAGCAGACAGCCCGACATGAGCTTCCAGATTCTGTCATGGTTGTCAGGTCGACAGAGTAACACAGCGTGATCTCTCCGACTTGCTCATTCATGCAGTCTTTTGTGTGTAAGTGTGTGTGTTTGTGTGCGTCCCCTACCAGCCGACTACACCCCTGCATTAATCACACCCATGAAATAAACAGCTTGACAGCTCGGCGGCCTCGTAAACTCGGGGGGAAAGAAACAACAACAAAAAAAATGTACTTGCACAGTAGGGGAGTCAGGCAGGGAGCAAAAAAAGGAAGAACTAGAATAGCATGGGGGTATTATAATAAAAATAATCATCACCATAACATGCTAAGTGGGAACACTTTAATAAGTGGTGTGTCTGTAATGATGTGGCATTCAGCACACGGATCGCTCGAACGTGTTTCCTTAGAAGCTTTTTAAGGAAGGGATCCTTCAACTAGCATGCTCGTCAGCTGCTGTAGTGGAAACGTCACTGTCACCTGTGCACATTCTCCAACACGGTGAAGACACCCTGATAACTGTGTATTACCCTGAGAACACACTGGGCGCGTCACACAGTTTCATTTTGTCTTTTGCACAATTTCCAATTTAGACTAGAACAAAGTTGTTGTTTTTTTTAACTAAAACCAGCAGAAGTGAACACATGCAGAGCCGCACAGCTACGAAACAAGCTGCCCGAGGAAGTCGGGTCAGTGCCTGGGGCAACTATGGCTCAGGAAGCAGAGTGGGGTGGCCACCATTTGAAAGGTCAGTGGTTCAAACCCCGGGACCATCCAGGTGACATCAGGCGGTCAACACAGTGAACCCCAAACTGGCCCTGAAGCATCCATCAGAGCGAGAGTGAGAAGGATTTGTGTGGTGCAGGATGGATGGACGAGCCTTGTAGTGTGAAGCACTTGGAGTGGAAACACGCTAGATTTAGCTTCAGTGTTGTATTATTTATATGAATCCATTTTGGTGTCTTTTTTTAATATTGACCTGCTTTTCAAATATCTTTTTGTTTCTTGTTGTGTACCACCGTTATTTTACTGGATGGAACGCCTCCCACGTGCTGTTTGAGATATTCTGTCTACAGTAAAACTGATATCTATTTTATGATGGGGAACATAGCAAATGTAAATCTAAATTCACAACAAACTGAGTGTATTGTACTCTGGATGGCGTTACCTTAGTCTCCAGTAACAGTGTGAGGAACCCCAGGATATGTCATTCAGTGCACATATTAAACAAATATGTAGGACTGGTTTCTTCCATTTGTGCAATATCTCTAAAATGAGAAACATCCTGTCTCAGAGTGACGCTGAAAAACTAGTTCATGCATTTATTACTTCCAGGCTGGACTACTGCAATTTCTTAGTATTTACAGGGATAAAAAAAGAGAGATTTATCTTCCCTTCGTTGACCTTGCTGATCTTGGTTGTTTCCAGAAATACATTTAAATTCCTTCTCATGTGCAAAGTCCTGAAAGCATCATATCCCCTCCTAGTACACTATCACCCCATTAGTGCACTTCACTCTCACACTTCAGGCCTACTTGTTGTTCCTAGAGTATTTAAAAGTAGAATGGGAGGGAGAGCCTTCAGTTTTCAGGCC